TACCCTTGGAGTCACTCAGCCTCTAAGTCCGTAGGGTGCGGCTAAGTACGCGTGCGCAGCTTTAATACTCCGCCCAAAACTGCCAACACATCTCACTAACGAGTTAGGCCTTACTTGCCTGGATTTACGCGTGCGCAGTAACCAGCCTGGCCCCGGAAAACCAGGCGCGTGCGCAGTGGGGACTACGGTGACAGTCCCCTAGGTGTGGCACAAGCCAGTCATGGCGGAGCCTTGGTCCGGACAGTCCTTGCAGGTTCTTCCTGCCACAGTGCTGGGCGCACTGGGGGCCTTAGGCAGCGAGTTCTTGCGGGAGTGGGAGGCTCAGGACATGCGCGTGACTCTCTTCAAGCTACTGCTGCTGTGGTTGGTGATAAGTCTCCTGGGTATCCAACTGGCGTGGGGATTCTACGGAAGCACGGTGACGGGGCTATATCACCGCCCAGGTGAGGTTCCCCTCTAACCTTCGCGGGCCACCTGCCCCTACCGAACTCTACCATTTGGCTCTCCAGCACCTCTCTTAAGACTACCACTGATCCCCCAAGAGTTTACTCAGAATTTAATGTTGAATCCATAACGTTTAATGCCACCATACTGTTTCATACCAGAATTCCCACCAGTCCAGCCATCATATTGTGACTTTCCGAGAATCCTCTCCGTACAATATACCATCAATTCCTTAGGACCCTCACCAGACTCTCTACCAAACAGTACCACTGGCCCCTAACCTAACCTGGTCTGATGGCTGCTCAGATTCCCACCCTCTAAGCCCAGATTGCAGCAGTTCTGACTGTATTCCAACCCACAGGTTTGGGCGGCCAGAACGGATCTACACCTGATGGCTCCACGCATTTCCCTTCCTGGTGAGTATATCTGTCCTCACCCCTAACTCATACTTGTCAGACAGAAGACACTCATGTGCTGGCAGTGGGAGGAGGGGTTTCTCAAGATGGGAGCTCATCAGTTTAGAGGCCATTGCAGTAAGTTCCAAGGTCTGCAGCCAGAGCTTAGGTTTCAAGTTGGGGTGACACCGAGACGAGACCTGAACAGCTTCACTGTCCAGCAACTTGTGACATGGGTGGTGGGAACACTGTCACCATTTTACTAAAGAAGGAACAACTTCAAAGAGATGAAGTGGTAGATCTGTTGGATTCCTATCCAATGTAAGCCCTTCAATTGGAAAAGCAGTCTCTGCCCTTAGTACACTACTGGTCTCATCAGGGTCAGTCACTACCTGTGGGAAACATGAACTCACTAATCAGCTCATCTATGATCTGAGACAAAATTGACTTAGCCCCCTAGGGCTGCAATAACAAAATGGTTAGCTTTAAAAAACAGTAATTAATTTTCTTACTGTTCTGGATGCTCAGAGTCCAAAGCAACCAAAATGGGGTCAGTTCCTTCTTTAAGCCTCTTTCCTGATTTCTGATGGCTGCCAGCAATCCTTGCTTTTTCTTTGCTGCTTACTGATGCATCTTCCTCCATAATCACATAGCATTTATATTCCCCACGTGTCACTTTTATAAGAACCCACTCAGAAGGTATTAGGACTTGGGCCCACACCACTAGTGTATTCTCATTTGACCCAGTTGATACCAAAAGAGAAACCTTGTTTTCCGAAAGTCCACAGATACAGAGATTAGGATTTAAATACATCTTTTAAGGGGCACAAGGAGCTCTTTTAGCATAGTTGTGACAAATCAGGCATGAGTGGTTCCTCGGGAGGAAGATGAGTCTTTCTGCTCCCTTAAAGATTTACAGCCTCAGAAACACTATAAATTTGAACTGATGCCACAGCACATCACCACCACCACCACCATTTAGGGGACACAGTTCAGTCTGTAACACTCCACCCATTAGCTTCCCAAATCTAGATCCTGCCCATGTGTAAAATACATTCACCTCATCACAAAAATCTTAACCCATTGTAGCATCCATTCTTAAGTAAAAATCTCATCGTTTGAATCATCTAAAGTATGGATGACACTTGTTGTTTTCCATCCTGAGGTAAAATTCTTGTCCATCTGTGGACCTGTGAAACCTAGAAGGTAGGTTTATTTGTTTCAAAATACAATGGTGGCCTCTACCACATGGGAGGAGCTTAAAATTTAGCTGAATTAATGAGGGCACAGAGGGAAGGGACCTGCAGGATCTTTCTCCTGAGGTCCAAGGAACTACTGAAGGACTCTGGAGGCAAGGGCTGATCTAATTTGTCTTTATAACTGCCTGTGTTAAGGCAAGTAAATGAAAGGATCCAAGAGTAAGGGCAAGAAGCTACTTAAGAAGCCTGCTACTTCCCAAGTTTCTGTCTTGAGCAACTAGGGAAGGATGGTGGCACCATAAGATGGGGACCCAGGAGGAAGAACAGGTCTGCAGGGGGAAGGTGGTGAGCCTAGTATGGACCATGGGATTGTGACACATCCAGAATCTGGATTGGGCCCAGCTCAGCATGCAAGAAGAGTCTGTTCTGCTACCTATGAAATAACCAATCTCTTCTCTCTCCATAATTTTCAGGGAAACATCAGCAAATGAACCTCTCAAAACCCACAGAGAATGAGAAGGCAACAGGGAGTCTCCTGGGGAAGTCTGGGTCTGCTGGTTCCTACTCTGGTTCTGCTGCTGCCCAGGGATGACTAGAGGGGGCTTGGTTTGAGGACAGAGAATACTTAAGTGAATACTTAAGTGCTGCCCTGGGTCCTACCTCCAATAGCCCCAGGCACTGGGTCAGTGACCTCTGCTTCTACTCTGATCTGAATGCTTTAGGGGAGAAAGTATGTTGTGCTCTTCCTCTCTCAAGGTTTAGAGTTAAGGAGAAAAGCCTCAGGACTGGGTAGACCTGCGATCATTTCTGCCCTTTCTCCTGTCCCTCTTCCCATCCTCCTATGGTCTGACCCTGTAGGGATATGTCTTTGAGGTTGAGGTTGACCGTCTTTGGGACTTGTAAGGGAAATCTGTTCTCCCCCTAAGTTCAATGTTCCCTGAATTCCTTTGGCTTTACTTTGTTGGCAGGGAGCCATGGAATCCTGGCCTGGGCCAAGCCTTATAGTGTGGGTGACCTTCCACCCCTCTGCTGAAGTGCCCATGCAGTGTCTGCTCTATATCCTGGCCCCTCACTGGGAAGTACTGAGAAGTTTCTTAGCTCGCTATAAGTATAAGGTCCTGTGCAGGTGGTAGCTGGCACCATCTAGTCATGGAGACATTGAACACACCATCTCCCTGGCCTAGCTAGAGCTCTTCAAATATAAACCAGATCAAGGAAATGATCATTTCCCAAATATCTTACTCATAATCCTTACTCTTTCTGGGGGGTAAAAAGGGCAGAGTTTACTAACTGAACTCCTGAGGTGGTCTCCCATCTGTACTGCTTAAGTGCCCATGGAGTCTCAAGTCTGTACCCTGTCCCTTTACTGGGAGGTGTTGAGAAGGCAGAGCAGCCCCATCATGCTCTGCAGCCTAAGCACTTCCCACTTTGACTTGGAACAACAAGAGCCTCATTCTAAGAGGCTCAAGGCTCAGCTCCCAGTCACCAGCACCATCTCAATTCCGAAGAGCCACAGCCAAGAAGGCCTGCCACCTCCACAGCAGGCCAGGGAAGCTCCCAAAGGTGTGTGCTGCAAAATACCCCCAAAGAAAAACTGGTTCCTGAAAGCATTGTGTCCCTGTACCTGCCTTCCCTCTGATGGCAACACCTCTGCCTGCCTCTGCTGGGCCACCAACTACCTCAGTGTCCAGCTGTTCACTCTCTATTAGAGGTTACATTTCTGTATGGCAGCCTTTGCCTAGGTCGTCTTTATGGCAGAGGGGCCCTGGAAGTGGGACTGCACTGCGCACAGAACCCACTCCAGAGATGTGTTATGGCTGGCAGACTGATGGTCTTCCAAGGCCCACCCACCACACACAGAATCAGGGCCTAAATGAGGATCTCAACTGAGGATGTGGCTTATTAAAAATGGAAGCGAACCAGTTGTGTGGTTATTCAGACAGGACGAGGCCATGCATGCAGGGGAAGTGGAGAGGGAACATCCAGGGGGCCTGTTGCTCTACAGAACCTACAATACAATGGATTGTGGATGTACAGAGATGATGCCACCTCCCCAGAAGAGTGATGGGGGTTGCCCAATAGGAACAACATCCCCATCAGTTCTTATAGGCCCGACCCATAAGGAGAATTCATTCCAAGCCTGTCGTAGAGGCCAGGACAGTAGGCCTTGGGCTGGTACCCCATGAACCCTGTGGATAAAGCACAATAAAGGTAACAACTATGGCAAGTAAGGAGGAAGGAAGATCATTTAATTTTTTCAGAAGTCCATATAATCCAATTATGGACACGAGGGGCAAAGGTCAGCCCAGAGTTAAGACAGGTCTAGGGGAGGATACCTGACCCAGCCCAGCCCTAAAGCAGCCCTGGGGCTCAGAACAAGTAGGCTGGCCAAATCAGGAATATCCATGCCCTCTCAGCAATCCCCAAGCTTACACATATGCACCATCAGGGATTTAAGAATCATTGCAGTCCAGGGAAAGGCAACAATTTGTGTTTGTGAAGCGCACATTGGAAGAAGTAGCCTGAGCTGGAATTGCCCAAGGTAATAAATAGCCCTTTGTAGTGTGAAAAACAGCATTGAGAGGTAGGTTGGGCAGGCTTTAGCCTTCCCATAAAAGTGACCTTTTGCTCTGCAGGAAGGCCCAGCAGAATGGAAGAGGTACCAGAACTGGTGTTTTTCACGGCATTCCAGCAGGCGCAAGAGAGGGTCAATGAGAACTTGAACTAAAACATTGAGTAAGCTGGTCTTTTGCTAAGAAATGGAGTCCTGGAGTTGGAGTGGCACAGGCTGAGGGTGATTTGGCCAGGAGGAAATAGACAACCAGATAAGTAGAGCCAGCCTCCACTCTTAACACCCCTACCTACCCACTCCTGCTTCTTCGGATTCTGTCTCAGCTTCCTAACTAACCACTTAAAGAATGCCCTCCAGGAAAAGGCTCTTGAAGGAGAGAGCCCTTCCCCAAGCCAACCTCACTTGAGGGTATAATAGCTTGTAGGAACGAAGGGCATTTTGCTGACCACAGCCTCTTGCTGCTTTCGCCGCACTTCTACCAGCACCAAGGTACCTGGCCGACTATACTGGTAGGGCACATAACCCATCGCCACATTCTTCTTCAGGCTTGGTGAGGGGCTGCCACTGGTCACAGTACCTGTCCGGGCACAGGCAATGCATCAGCACCACCCTCCCAGCCCAACACCCCAACCCCTCTGGGGAAGTTTCAGAACAAGGGTTTCCAAGCCTCCCTGGTCCACCTACCGATCACAGTACCCTCCACGCTCAGGATGGGGCTATGTGCCCGCATTGGGGGTCCCTCACATATCAACCCCACACGCCTCCGCTGCACCTTGCCCTTAAGCTGGGGAACAATGACCTTGGCTCCAGGGAAATCCATGGCAGTTCGGCGGCGTTTCCCTAGAACATGACATACCAGACCTGAGTGACAACCCATGGGAGCTCTGGCCACAGGAGGTCCTAACTACACAAACCCAAGTAACATCCATTCAGCATCAAGACCCTTTCGTTTGGGCTTGCCCCAGGCCCCATTCCTCACTTGAACTGTACTCAGCCACCCACCTCTTGTCCCCTGGTCCAGAAGTTCATGATACACACCTTGGCCTGCCAAGGGTTCTCAGCTTCTAATGAGCAAGGCCACAGTGATACCTCCAAAGAATGGGGGCTGAGGAGCACCAAGTCACTTGTTCCAGGCTACACAACTTCAGGAGTTGTCAGGGACTGACTGGTCTCACTAAGGGTCATTCAAACTTTCAGGATCCCAGCGTAGCTCACCCAGTGTCCAACTGAGGCTGCCCTCCACAGGTGTGGTGTGCTCATCAATGTCATTCCCATATAGGCAGAGGCCTGCCTCCAGGCGTAGGCTGTCCCGCGCTGCCAGCCCTGCCAGCTTCACCTCTGGATTTTCCAGCAGAGTTGCTGCCAAGTGGACTGCCCCTGATGCTGGCACTGAGATCTGCATGGGATACCAAAGAGCAGGTGGGCAGCTGCCACAGAGTCCTGTGCCTGCAAATGCCTGTGCCCACCCCACTGCTTGACAAACCTCGACACCATCTTCGCCTGTGTAGCCGCAGCGAGTCACACGGCAGTGAGACACGCCAAACACCTCCATCACAGCACTGGTCATGAAGGGCAGCTTCCTCAAGTCATCTGTCACGCCAGCCTGCAGCACCTGGACCGCAGTGGGACCTAGGCCCAGGGAACAAGTAACTAAGCACCCAAGTCCCAGGTCATAGCTTTTAGGGGCCAGAACAAACCTTAAGGTGCTCATCATCCCTTCTAGAAGACATTCTTGCCCCAAACCCATGGAACCTTATGATAGGTAGGGAAAAGGCAAAATATAAATATAATAAATATAATAATGGCTCACAAATATCATACAGTTCACACATTCCTGGCCCAGCCTCTGTACTAAACAGTTGAGGTAGTCAAGAATGCAGAGATCAGTTCCAACCCCAGGGCAGCCCTCGCACCTTGCAGGGCCAGCAGGGCATTATCCACCACTTCCAAGCCCACATCACTGCCCATGTTCTGAAGTTCTCTGACCTTGTCCTGAAAGAAGAAACAAAAATACCAATTTGTGCAACCTCCATAAACCAGCCATGGCAGAGCTGGGCAATGAGACAATAGATTGATTCCCATCTTACAGATGAGAAGACAGCTTCAGAGATGGTGGGTGACTTTCCCAAGGTCACAGCTACTAAGTGGTGGGGATAACTCAAGCTCAAGTCTGCAAACTCACACCAGCTTCCAGATTTCCATTCTTTCCAAAGGATGCTCACTAAGGGGCTAAAGTTAGCTTCACCTGTCCTCCCCTCCCCCAAATTCTAGCTTATTCTATGGAGGACCTACACTGAGTCTCCCAGCTGCTCACACACTCAAACAATTTTTGGAGCCTCTTATACATGGCAAGTCTGTCCTGGGCACCAAGACTGCCACTCAGAACAAGGAAGGTACGGTGCCTAGAGCATGTAGGGTTTATACCTGCATGAGGGCCAAGTCCTTGTCCCGGCAGCCAGCATTGGACACCACGTACAGATGCCCCTCAGAGGTGTTGGTCACAATCAAGTCGTCGAGGATGCCTCCAGCCTCATTAGTGAAAAGTGACAGTGTCCCCTGGTACCAAAGCAAAGTATCTTTACCTCCAAGGCCAAGGTCAAGGGTGAGCCGCACATCACCACAAACTCACCAATATTTCATGCATAGGACTGGGTGTGTGCAAGGTACAAAGCTGGGTCAGCCATACACCAAGAAAGTTTTCATCTCCTTCCCAACATGGGAGACTTTCCCAATCTGATAGGGTCTCTGCACCTCTCCCCTCTCAGAACCGACAGTCCCATCTCATGTTTAATTCAGGACACCCAAGACGTGCTCTTCATCCTACCCAGACTTGGAACAGTGCAGTTCCAGCTCCAACCCCCAGGACAAAAGTTTCAAAGTCCATCTTGACAATCCCACACACTACTTGAGCACTCCACAACAATGCCTATGAAGCCACTATGAGCTTGGCCTTGGCTTCTCACTAGAGGAAGCACTTGAGATTCAGAGTTCACATAAATCTCCTAGTTGTTATTGTTGTTGTTAAGTGCCGTCGAGTTGGTTCCAACCCATAGCGACCCTGTATACGGTTTCCGAAGAGCAGCTGATGAGCTTGAACTGCTGACCTTGTGGTTCAACCCGACCTTGCAGTCGAGCATATTAACCCACAGCACCATACCAGGACTCCAAATCTCCTAAAGAGCTTATTAAAGTGCAGGTTGATTCCACAGGTCTGGGACAGGGCCTGAGATTGTATGTATTATTATCTTGGTGTGGCACTATAGGACAAACACTAGACTGCAAACCCACTACTCTTAGGAAAACCTATAGGAGAGGTGCCAATAGGTCAGAACTGACTCAAGGGCACTAAACAACAGGTGAGGATGAGATTGCTGGTTTATCAACCACATTTTGAATAGGGAGGAGTTAGGTCTCATAGAAGGTCATAGTACATGAACTCAAGTTTCAGGTCTCCTAGCCTGATGGGGCAAGGTGGGGACAGGACTCTCCCTACAGATGGCTGGGTGTCTGGATATGATTCAGGGACTCCCAACTTCCCAAGACTGGGAACCCTGAGAAGCTGTGATTGATCCACTTCTGTACCCTCAAGCCCACAGTAAGGACCCAGCCCAAGTTTGCTGCTCATGGCTGAGAACACTCATTGAGCAGAAATAAAAGAAGGGCCCACCTGGTTTGACCTTAGCTCTGCAATGTCTCCAACCACTAGACTCTCCATCAGCTTCACCCGATCACAGCCAAGTATCTTGGTCTGAGGAAGAGATCAAACACCTCAGGCCACTGTAACAGCTGCAGTCAGAGAAAGCACTGGGCAAGGAAGCAACCATTCTGTCATCCACAGTGCAGTACAACTCAACTGAAGTGCCTCACTTGACTTTTGGGGTCTATAGGTAGCAGAGGTCCCTCCTCCCAATTCCCCTACATCCTCCAGCACAGGGCTGGTTTACTAGGGGTAGGTGAAGGGAAGTTAAGAGAACTAAAGAGGAACTGAGCACCTTCATGAAATACCCCTTTTTCAAGCCAATATCCAGGACCATTGTTAGGGCAGGTGCCAGCCCTGGAAATACCAGGATGTTAAGGCATGTTATTAAGTGGAAGCAGGATGGATAGATTAGAAGAGGATGATCAGGAGATCCTCAAACTTCCTCAGTGCCAAAGTCAGTCATAACACTGATGACACCCAGCTCTTCTGGCTGATCGGTCCTTAGGTTACAAAGCCGAGAACTGCACCACTGTAAACGGGAAGGAAAGCCGGTTTGGCGGCCAGTGCGCTTGCCTGACTCACCTGCAGCATGTGGGATACATCAAAGAGTGAGCAGTGCCGGCGTGTATGCAGGTGCGAGTCAATGTGGCCGTCCCGGTACTGAACGGGCAGGCTCCAGCCCGCAAATGCCACCATCTTCCCACCGTAGGCCAGGTGTAAATCGTAGAGCGGCGTCCTGCGGAGTAAGTCCTGTGGGGAGGCCAGGCTCAGTGCAGCCAGAAGTCCAAGCCCCCTGCCTTTTCCCTCCCCCCTCCAACGTCAACACCCACCTCCAACACCCTATCCCACCTGTGCACAACTGAGTGATCGGCTCAGGGTTGAGGGGGGCGCCTGCAGGCGCGAGCCTAGCCAGGCCATCAAGCTCCCTGCCCGCAGCATTGTCGCCCGCCAGCAATGCAGCCAGCGCACGGAGGCCACCACTCTGCTGGGAACGCCGGGAGATGTAGTCCGACCCCTGCTCAAACAGGTTAATCCTATGTGGATTATCCGGAGGAGGGGACAGGAAGCCCCAAAGGCAAATTAAACTTTCAAACTGAATGCAGCTACTCCAAACTGCAGGAATATAGCCCCAGGTTCTTCCAGCTGGCTGATCAGGGCAGATGAGTTGCCAAAACAACAGCTGGAGGTTAGACCTCCCCCTGCTGATTGTCAGGCCTCCAAAGGTTCAAAGTTCTACAAAGACTGAAAGGCCTCAATCAGTCAGGACCCTAAGAATGTAAGGTCAAATAGTGGGGGAAGGGCAAGAAAAGGATAGGCTGGTGGAACAAGCCTGACAGACAAAGCAACGTGGTAACCTGGCTTCATGTGAGGGTCCCCAGCTCTCCCACTGAGTAGACACAGGCAGCCATGACAGTCATGCATTCCACAAGCATTTATTGATCTTGCTGTACACCAGGCCCTGTGCTGATTGCTGGAGGTGTGAGTGAAGCACCCCCAGGGTCCACCCCTCTCACACACACATATACTGAGGGTCACTGCTCCCTGAGTACAGGACTTTGGTCATCATACTCTTAGTAACATCAGAATGGGTTTAAGTTAATAAACCTGCAGGCAAAAACACTACCTGCAGGAACTTGGATGAGAGGCGAAGGCAGACACCAAAAAGTGGCTAAATTTCTCCTTGAAAGTTGTTGAGCCTTGAATGCATCCATTCTTCCAGGTCAAGCAGGGGAAACGCCAGGAAGAACCAGAGGGAGGCAAGATTTTCACACAAGCAGCTTGCCTTACTCACCCACCCACATGAGATCTTGAAAGACGTCATCCTCTTAAGAAGAGACAGGGTTGTTCTTTGGGATAGGTGCAATGGCTGGCAAGTCCCAGGTCTTATTCTTAGGCTCAGGCTTGATGATCAGAGCCATTGGGACACACCAAGAGCCAGCCTAGTAACTAAAGACTCAGACTGTCTAAATACCCAGTTCTGCTTCCCAGGCAGGTAGCAAAAACATGTAGACAGGAAACTTGTGTGTATGTGTGGGTGTAACACAAAGGGAAAGAAGGCTACAAGGTAGCCTAGAAGGAAGAGAAGGAGCTGTTTCTCCCTCAAGTTTCCTGTCAACAAGAGTGTCTTAGCATGCAACCTTCCTGGGCTAGATGGGATAGTTCATCTCAGCTCACTGCATTTAGGGTAAGGAAGCAGGTAGAAGACAGGTGTATACACATTGACTGAAGGGGTAGAGGGAACATGGGGATTCTAACTAAGTAGAAGTGGAATGTTTTTAGGGTGGGAGAAGAAGAAAGAGCTTGGCTGCTTCCCAGCAAGCACAGCACCAACTGCAAACCCGTGTCTGGAACTCATGCTGAAGCAACATGCTAAAGGCCTGATAATCTGGAATCCATGAAGATGGCTTGAACAAAATGGGCCTGCAGGTGGTAATTGAAATGCACAGACACTGCACTTCAGCCTCTGGTGGCTCAAGCCAGGTCTTGGTGGGCATGGAAAGACCAAGGTCTTGGGTAGGAGTCATGGCTCAGGTGTAGGAGAGCAAGTTCAAGTCATAACAGCCATCCACCTGCAACACAAAAAGTCATCATGTCTGACCCGCTCAGGGCAACTCAAATTAAGCAGAAGAAAGTGATCACTCACATCAAAGCGGCCAATCCGTGTGGAGGTTTGACTGGCCCGGATCATCTCTGTCAGTGCCCACATCTGCTGCACCTCAGAGGATACCCTGCCGGGGTCTGGGAGACCCTGTTCCAGAGGGAGAAGTCAGTGGCTATGTATCTCTCCCCAGCATTGCTTTCAGGGCCCCAGAGAGACCTAGCTGGGGTATGTGAACCCACCACCCTCACTCACCCAGTTGAGACTGGTAACATTTCCAGATAACTTATGAGACATGAGGCTGGGGCCTGGTGTACAGTAGGCAGTCTAACTCCATGTCAGCAATGCTTCAAATGCCATGGTCTAAGAGTGAGTATCTAGCAGGAAGATGGCAGAGACCAAACTGAGAGCCCTGGGTCTAGCCCTAGATTATTATAGAAAGGGGTCCATATGGGTCTATGCTAGGCACTAGAGCCATTCACAAATGGTTTTTACACAGGATAAGACTTACCTCAAGGAGTGGGGTAGGCTGCTCACAGGGTGCTGGGTGGGAGAGCCACTTGGGAAAGGTCATGGAGGGACTCTGTAAAACAAAGGCATGCATCACTGAGGGAGGCAGAGTGGGACAGTTCTAGGGCCAAAGTCCATGGTCCTGGGAACAAGGTGGGGACCCCTCAACCTCAGACACTGGGAAAATGCTATTCAGGGGACCCACAGTAGCTCAGGCTACAGAAGTTTTCCTATTATGCAGAAGGAGGCTCCAAGAACACTATAAGCAACTATAAGCAGCAGAAGGATCTTCTAGCAGCTGAAGGTTCAGGGCTCTGGGAATGACAAGTAACTCCAAAGGTCAGGTGACATTCAGACATGACCTTACCCTCAGGGACTTCTGGTATTCCTACCCATACAGCTAAATTCTACAAAGGGTTCCTTCTGAGTCTCACCCATCCCCCACCATACCTGGGAGCCTGTTGGAGAATGGGCCAGTCAACAGTTCTGAGCCAGTCACCTACCTTTGGTCCCTCCTGGTAGACCTGCAGCTCCTCCACTGTGAAAGACAGCCACAGTGGTGATGGCTGCCGCAAAATCAGGCGCAGCTCCAATACTCTGGCCATGTCACACAGCATCTGATACACACAGAAGGACACAGTGAGGCTCAGGACACTGCCCAGGAGCCTCCCAATCAGCAGTGAGCCAAAATGTTTCCCTCTCCCCCAACAGGCCTTTGGGAAGGAAAGAAGTCCCTCCAAGGTGTTTGCACAGTCATTGCTCAGGCTGGCCTTGCCCCTCTTCTTCCCTCCTGTTGTACTGGCCCAAATTCCAAGACCCCTATAAGCCCTCATCTGAGCTTCCCTGGCCATGTGGAGGCCCAGCTGACCTGGTGCTTAAACAGCGATACATACTCCTGGGCCCCCTCCTCACTGTGTGGGTCAGGCATGAGGCAGTAATTCCGCAGGCAGGTCACCCACTTGGCTGGTGTGTGCATCGAGGTGTCCTGGCGCACACGGATGCTCAAAAAGGCTGTGTAGTAATTCTTAAACATGATCTCCTGCAACTAAAGCACACATAATGCACCATGACAAATTAGACTCAGGCCCAGGGCCTGAAAGTTAAAAAAAAAACACCATTTCCCCTTCCTCTTAGGAATGTACTCCTACTAAACTAACAATTTCAGCAAGTATCTACTAGGGCCCAAAGATAATTTTGCTTTCCTAGAAGCATTCACAAGGAACCCTGGCAGCATAGTGGGTTATGCGTTGGGCTGCTAACCACAAGATCAGCAGTTTGAATCCACCAGCAACCCCAAGGAAGAAAGATAAGGCTCAGAAACCCCGTATAGGTTCATAGGAATTGGAACTGACTCAGTAGCAAGCAGCAGCAGAAAAGCTCACAGTTGGATGAGTAGCTCATGTAAATTAACCACCAATATAGATCTTGCCAGATGTCAAGAAGCTGCTCAGAGTCCTAACTCTGGAGGAGGCAGAAAATTATAGATGAAGCCTGAAAGAGGAAGTAATAAGGAGCACCAGAGGTGAGAGATGCTAGCACACTCCAGGAATAGTGGCTACAGCAATGGTTCTCATCACTGCACACTCAGCAATCAACCAAGGAAAAACTTTCTATTTTTTAAATAATACATGCATCAAGGCTCACTCCAGACCTACTGAGTCAGGACCACCAGGGTTAGGTCCTTCAATGAAACTTCACAGATAATAGCAAGGAACAGCTTGGGGAGAATAACAAACTGCAACCAGCACAAAGTGCATGGGGCAGAAGCCTGAGAGGCAGGCAGAATGCAGATGTGGCCTGCCTCTAATGCTAGGCCATTAGAAAATGGACTTTATCCTCTGTGATGAGGTTATACAGTGTCCAGTCACCTTGCTGCTGATGTGGAAATGCAACTGGGCATTGGAAACTGGAATCATTGGGAGTATCCCAATGAGTGTTGAGTTGAAATTGACCTTCTGCAGGAACAGGAGTAAGCAAACACATTTGCAGGCAGCTTATTGTATAATGATACCAAGTTGAGACCAGGGACAAAATGATCCATCACCTCCATTGGGTTCACAGCTGTATTGCCAGCACATTCATGCCAGTGCTGCTCTGGGCTGAGAACTGAACAGGAAGGAGGCTGCATTCTAGTAAATATATACTAACTAAAGGAATAAATACATGAATGGTTAACTGAATCACAGAAACAGGAGCCGCTGCTGAGTCTTTCAGTAAAAGATACTAAGTCTTTCAATCAGAGATTCTAAGGATGGATCGCGGAAGTGCCTGCGGACTAAATCGTACCTGAATTCCAAGGTCTGCCCTGCCCCGGAGGCCGGGTCGCGCCCCCCACACAGGGCTTGCTTACCTCGAAGGGTTTGGTGCTGGGGAAGGTGACATCGATGACCTGCACGCCAGGCCGTCCTTGGGAGTTCCGCATGTCGCCAACCTGCAGAGCGACGGTGCCTTTCATATGGTAAGGCACTGACACGCGGGACATGATGCCAGCGGACGCCACCCAGTACAGCCCGGGCCCGCAGCCTCTGACCACCGGTTCTCCTAGGCGACCCCGTTGAGCCCCAAGAACTACAACTCCCTGGAGGCCTAGCTCTCCAGATACCCAGCCAATCAGAGATACTAAGGATGGATCGCGGAAGTGCCTGCGGAAATTCTCCCTCAGCCAGTCACCTTTCGAGCTTTTCAGAGCCGAGGGCGGGCCATTCTAAGGACTGTTGAGCTTTGGAACCGCACCCTTCTATTTGGCGAGAGACTGTTGTTAGCCCTCCCCGTTCCTATAGTCTCGCTGTTCCTGTCCCAGAGCCGACCCTGCTTTCCAGTGTGGACCCACATGGTTGTGAGCCACTCCAGTGTGAGACAGTACTGGCTGGCTGCACCACTTTGGTACCTCGATTCCAGCAAGCTTGGCAGACTTGCAGAACCTGCAGAACCACCAGACCTGCTTTGTTGTTGAGTCGGTTCCAAATCATAACGACCCTGTTTCTGAGGAGCAGCTGGTGGGTTTGAACTGTTGACCTTGTGGTTCACGGTCCAGTGCTGGTCCTACAGCGCCACATCAGGAGTCCATCTAGGACCAGAAACTCCGCTGCCATATACCAGCTGCACCCATGAGCTCCTTGGCTGACAGGAGACTCCAGAGATCTCTCCAGGTTCAACAGTTGTTTTAGTGCCTTTCATTGTTTGCTTATTCTTTCTTCTTCTCTTTCTATCACTGTGAATATTAACCTTTCTGTCCCTGCTTTTGTTTTTCCTTCTTTTCTATTACTCATCCATCTTCTTTTTATTCCTTTTGCTCTTTCTTTACTACTCAGTACTCTCTTCATTTTCCCTCTCAGTGTTTTTAATTTCCCCTTCATTTTCTCTCTTATTCTTCTCTTCTATAGTTCATTTTCCTGTACCTCCTTTTTCTTTTTAGTTATTATATTCTTTTTTTCTAGTTGCTACCTGCTTTTCTTTCTGTTTCATCCTTTATTATTTTCTCTTCATTGTTGGTTGTCTGTTTATTATGCTTTGTTTTCTTGTGTGTGTGTGTGTGTGGGGGGGTGTTTCCTCCTCTTTTCCACCCAACAAGAAACTACTGTGTCCATACAAACCAGCCACAACAGTACTCTGCAGCTCCACCCACTGGCTCCTGTACTAGATAATCAACACAGGGAGAAATGCAATGTTTACAGTAAATAGAGGTGAATGCTATTAACTGTTTGTATATGAAGGGGATTGCAACTATGTAATGAAGCAAACCATATGATTTGTTGAATGTAAAAGTGATGATATGTTCTGTAAACCTTCACTCAATTCACAATAAAAAGTTTAAAAACAAAAAAGGAGGAGAACCTGGGTGGAGACCTAGTTGGCCAGCAGTTGTCAAGACCTGGGGACTCCTGAGCCCAGAGTCAGTGACATAGCCACAGAGGGCTAGAGTGGAGAGTGAAGCATCCAGCCAATAAGAAGAGAGGGCATATGCACAAGAACACCCACACTTACAGATAATACCCACTTGACTGGCTTCAATGGCTGGATGATCAAAATTCAACTAGAAGAAGAAAAAAAGAGTAATCTGATATAATTTCATGAACTTAACCTACACCTATGGATGCAGTTGCTCAAAAGAGGGAACAAATCTTTACAACAAGGATCATTTCCACCCCCTCGGTATACAGGATAGACAGGGATGGGCAACTTGGACATTGGCTACCCAAAATGGGGGGCTACAAAGGCAAGAAGTGACTGGCTTACAAGCTTTCAAGAGGGAGCCTAGATCCAGAGGGTACAGAGGAAGGTAGACTCTCCACTGAGTGGTTTCCAATCTGTCTGAACAAGGCTGATGAAAGGAGATGAGGATAAGACTCTTGTGGTACAATAGTGAATAATTGTTACCAGGACTGACTGTGAGGGTTGGAAATGTAAAGGTAGACGTTTTATAGAAAAGGAGGGGAGTGACTGACTTTGAGGTTCCTGGAACCATCAAGGGAAAAGAGGAGTATGAGACCCTACCCAGAGAAACAGTGATGCCAGAGATGGAGGCAGAGATGATGATGTGGAGAGATAGAGTGGCTGGGAACTCTAGACCCAGAGAGTGAGAGGGTCTGTGTGCTGATGACCGAGGGACAGGCTTGCGGGGTATACCCTTTGGTTGTTTGATGATGCATGGAGGGGATTGTAACCATGGCAATGAAACAATATATGATAGGATGAATGTAAAGCTAATGTTCTCCCATGTAAACTATCACATGATTCACAATAAAACATTAAAAAAAAAAAAAAAAGGTGGTGACAGCCTAAATGCCCATCAACAGAAGAATAGTTAAACAAACATTGGTACATATACACAATGGAACACTATACAATATTGAACAATAACCATGGATCTGCAAAATCCCTAGCAACATGCATGAATGTGGAGGACATACTGAGTGAAATTTGTCAATCACAAAAGGACAAATATTGTATGAAGCCACTGTTGTAAAAAGTCAAATTTTCTGGATAAAAGAGACAGTCTATCATGGTTATCAGGGGTGGGTGTAAGGGAAAATTATTCATAGACTAGAGAGTAGACAGAATCCTAGTATGGTGCTGTAAGATAAGCACTCAACCATAAGAGTTAACATGGTGAGTGATGGAGCAGGCATATATACAAAAAGAGGGAGATTGGCAGAGGAAAGAAGAAGGTAGCAGGAGACACTGGGAAGAGTGCATGAGTTAAAGTTAATAGAGGTAAATTGTGTTAATTGATAGTATATGGGAGGGATTGCAATCATTGTAATGAAGTAAAGTATATGATTTGTTGAATGTCTAAGTCTACTGGTCTCGGAGGGAACTCTGGTAGCGTAGTGGTTACAAATCAGGCTGCTAACTTCAAGCTTAGTAGTTCGAAACTACCAGCCATTCTGCGGGAGAAAGATGAGGCTTTCTGCTCCCGTAAAGATTTACAGCCTTGGAAACCCTATACAGGGTGGCTATGAGTCAGATTCGACTCCAAGGCACACTACCATGGCCACCACCATTGGTCTCAGGATTGTGAAGATCAATGTTCATGTATTCCATTAATCCATTGGACTAATTGATTCCAAATGTCTTCATTTTCATCATCCTTCTTTTCTCCCCACAGATAGAGGCCAATAGTTGCATAACATATTTGGTTTTTATTCTATCTAAATTATACTACAGCAAACATGACTTTTAAAAAAATAAAATACAAGACCTCCAGCAACATAAGAGACTAGCCAAATGTGCTACACAGACCCTCTACAACAAAGATACAGGAGACCAAATGACACAGACATAAATGATAATTCTAAGATCCTGAGCTTCAGAGGAAATGTTAGAGATGTGAATTGAATATTTCCTGAGAAGAGAAGCTGAGCAAGGCCAGCAAAAGAAGAACTGGCTGGTGAACTCTTGGCTGGCCAGATGCAGTACAGCCATCTTCTACTTTTGCAAGCAGCTTTGAAGACAGAAGGCAGCCTGGTAGAGCAGATTCATACAGGCTACAGGCCCTGATGCTCCTCTGATGCCCAGAGATGTGGCAGGCCCCTACTCTTATCCACCCCTAGAACAGACCCTGCTCTCCAGGAGTTTAGAGCCTTACAGTTTTGAGGCACACCAGTATGAGGTTGGTGACAGCTACGCCACATTGGTACCTGGATTCAGGCAGGCTCGGCTCCAGACCTACAGAACCCACAGAACCTCCAGGCCAGCATTGAAAATAGCATGACTTGGGTCAGGTGCACCATGGTCCTCAAAGTGACATCTTTACTCTTAAAGACTTGAAAGAGTCTTGTGCAGCAGATTTTCTTAATGGTATATGTTGTTTGATTTCTTGACTGCTGGTTCTATGAGTGTTGATGACTGATGTAAGCAAAATGAAGTCTTTGACATTTTCAATCTTTTCTCCATTTTTGTGGATGTTGTTTATTGGTCCAGTGGTGAGGATTTTCATTTTTTGTTGCTTTTTTTTCAGTGAGGCGCAACTCATACTGAGGGTGCGGTCTTTGATCTTCATCAGTATTTTAAGTCCTCTTTACTTTCAGCAAGTAAGGTTGTATCAGCTGCATATCACAGGTTGTCAATGAGTCTTCCTCCAATCCTGATGCCACGTTTGTTTGTTGTTGCTTTCATATAACTCAGCTTCTCAGATTATTTGCTCAGCATACAGATTGAATAAGTATGATGAAAGAAAATAACCCTAGCACACATGTTTCCTAGTTTTAAACCATTCAATGTTCCCTTGTTCTGTTTGAACAACTGCCTCTTGGTCTATGTACAAATTCCTCATGAGCAAATTAAGTGTTCCAGAATATTTATTATCTGAAATGTCCATAGCTTGTCATGAGCCACACAGTCAAAAGCATAGTCAATAAAACACAGGTAAACATTTTTCTGGTATTCTCTGCTTTCAGCCAAGATCCATCTGACATCAGCAATGATATCCTGCATTCCACGTTTTCACCTGAATCTGGCTTGACTATCTGGTAGTTCTCTGTCAATGTTTGCAGCTGTTTTTTAATTATCTTTAGCAAAATTTTACTTGCATATTAATGATATTATTTATGCTTTCTGCATTCTATTGGATAACCTCTCTTTGGAATGGGCACAAATATGAATCTCTTTCAATCAGTTGGCCATGATCTCTTCCAATAAGTTCCAAATTTCTTGGCATAGATGAGTGAGTGCCCTCATAGATGAGTGCCTTGGCATAGATGAGTGCTGCATCAGTTTGTTGAAAGATTCAGGGGGGGAGGGATACAAAGGTAAGAAGTGACTGGCTTACAAGCTTTCAGGAGGGAGCCTAGATCAACAGGGTGGGAAGGATGGTAGAGTCTCAAGTGAGTAATATCCAACCTGTCTAGGAAGGGCTGATGAAAAGAAATGCAGATGGGTCTCTTGTGATGCAAGGGCGAATAATTGTTATCAGGACTGATTGTGAGGACTGGAAATGTAAAGGCAGATATCTTATAGCAAGAAGGGGAGTGATTAACCTTTCAGTCTAGGAGTGAAGGCCCCTGGGACCATCACGGGAGAAGAGCCT